AGAATAACAAATCTTTTCAAATTTTTTTATAAGTTATCTGTTCCTACCAAGATAAATTTTTTTCTGCATTTGCAATCCATCCTAGAGATATTTCATTATCTTAAGAAAATATTTTCACATGAAAGAGAAAAAGATGATTGTGTTTAAGAGTAAAATTTTTCAATGTTGTCGATCGAAGAAAACAATCAATTTTTCAATATTTTCTCTGATCGACAACATATAAAGGTTATTCCAAAAATACATCAACATCATTATGTTAGAATGGATTGCAAGAGAAAAAAAATATTTTATTCAAAATAAAAGAATATTGAATTTTTTTTTGTCTTACAATTCATTAATGATGTGTACAAATTTAAAGTAATTATATAATTTAAAATACAATAAATAAGAATAAATTAATAAAAATAAATAATAAATATTACATTGATATTTTAAAGAAATAAATAATTTAAAATTAAAAAAAACAAAAAAAAAACCTCTACTATAAGACGGAGGAAGTAACAAATACTTTCAATGCAACTAAACCACCAAAGATTGAATTGTGTAGTTGGCAAATGCTATATAACACATGTCTTTTGGTTCAAACTAGAGAAAATTTTATTTTATGTAATTTTACTTTTTTTAAATATAGTTATTTATATAATTAATAAATAATATTATAAATATAAATTATTATTTTATTTTATTTTTATTTAATCATCAATATCACATATTAATTATAAAAAGTAAAAAACAAAAAAAACAAAAAAAAAAACTCAAATAACACGAGGAAAATATCAATTAACCTAATAGAAAATTGTGAACTAGCATAGTACATCACAAGGACAACTAGAGGACCGGGACGGTTTCACACGTGTGGATGAGATCATGCTGATGAGTCTCCACATGTCAAAACTTCCATTTAAAATAATTTTAATTAAACAAATACATTCATGCAACCTAGCTTTTGGACTTTACATGAGTTGTTCACATTTTACATTATTATAATTAATCAATAATTAGGTAAAGTTGTTGTCTTTATTACTGTTTTTGAATTGGTCTCATTTTTAATCAACTACGTGATTCCAAACTAAAGTTCTTATCACATTACACATTGTTTGTTATTAATTAAGAGTATGTTTGATAAGAAAAAAAAAGTTTTTAGCTTATATTCTTTTTAGTTTATTTTGATTAAAAAAATTCTTTTTAGTAACTGTGTTTTAGTTTTTAGTTTATAATTTTTTAATTTATTTTTAATTTTTTAAAATAGCTTTTAAACTTGTAGCTTTTAACTTATGACTTTTTATTTCAATTATACATTTATTATTTTAACAATATATATATAGGGGCGGTTCTTGGACCCGGCCAGGCTGGGCACATACCCAGGCTCTGGGGGGCCCAATATTTTTTTTCCTGTTGTTTAAAAATATAAAGGGTGGTGTGTGCAGTATCATGGGGACTGACAGAATCACGCAAGCTTTCAAATTGAAGATAAGATCTTTCCTTCTTCTTCATTTCGCCGGCTCTAGATCGTAGTACTACTGGTAGGAACTATTTTCTAAGCATTAGCTAGCGATTTCGGCAACCACACCACCATAACCGGTAGAAAGGAAAAGAAGTCAATTTCATTTCAGCAGTGAATAGGTTGAGGTAATGACACTAACCCATAAACACATTGACGGAATGTTTACATTTTTCCAATTCCCTTCAATTCCATTACGGAAAACATCAAAATAGCTGCACTCACAAGGTGTTTGTGAAAATGTCTCAGTGAGGATAATTCCTAGATTGGAAGATTTATTGTAAACTTTTACTTTATAACTTAATTAATATAATTTTATTCATTTTGTTTTAACTTGAATGATGAATATTTTCTTAAAGCACTACTTTGTCAAGAGTCAAGTTAGCCTTTTGCATTGAGTTCATTTTATAAAGATTTATCATCAACGACTTATTGTTGAAAAAATTGGGTTCTGATTTTCACTACTCGTTCACTTAGATTCCAAGGTCTAGGTGTTTGTTGGGTTTCATTTTGTATTTCCTTTTCAAAAGATGGGTTTTTTTTTTGGGTTAAAAAACATGCTATGTTATTGTCTTGGTGTAGGTATAAAATCAACTATGTTTGGTGACAACAATTGAATAGCAATTTGCTATGTATTATTTTGGAGGTCATTAGGCTTGTTGATCTATCTTGATGGGTTGTTTTGCAACATTTTGAATGATTGTCTACACAAGAACTCCTACCACACTTTCAATTTATGAAAGTATGTATAAGGCAATTATAATTTGTAGATGTCAATGTGCCTTTATTATTATTTATTTTTATATACAATAGTATAGTTTTTATTGTGTATTATTTATTTGTTAAATAGTAATGATTTTAGTATTTTATCGCTTGTGGATCGATGGTTTTTTTGTATGAAATATTGACTCCACTAGTCAACACATTTGGATCTGTCCATTTGTTTGGAATATGAACTTATGAACTTAATTTTGCTTATGAACTTATGAACTTATGAACTTTTGAGAGTGAAGGAGTTTTTTGAGAGTGAATGGTTTTTGTGTGCGTGTGAGTATTTACTGAATGGGTTATGAACTTATGAACTTATGCTTGGGTGCAGATTTTGTTTGGATTTTTTCCAGAGATGAGGAGATTTTTGGTTGAGTCAGAACCAGAACCACTTCCGCCTAATGTGGTTAATGAGTTTTTTCAATGTCCTTTTTTGCTTCAGTAAGTCCCTTAGTTACCACACCCAACCTATGCATCCAAAATTGCTCCTTCTCATCACCCATCTCCTTATAAAACCAACCAAAGAAACCACAACCAACTTGCATACCTCCCTGTAAGTTTAATTGTTTAGAGGATGATGGATAATGAATTTAAACTTAAACAGAAATATAACTTATAATTTGGACAGAAACAGAAATAGAAATATAACTTAAACAAAAACAGAACTTCAACAGAGAACAAAACCAGCTTGCATACCTTATAATTTGGACAACCCCAAAAAAATTTCTCATATTCTTAACAGTAGTTGCCCTTTGAAGAACAACCATGTCTCCACAATGGCATATAGGCTTCCATCGTGACCTACTACAAACATCTGATTCTCGACTTTCCGATTTCAACATGGAGGAGGAACAACCGGATTTCATGCTTGTCAAATAAAAAAATCCTAGATTAATTTAGGGATTTGGGATTGGGAAATCACAGTCGCACAATGTGAATGGAAGGAGGAAGGAGAAGGAAGCAACATGATGAGCACAATTGCTAGGTCATTTGCCAGATATACAAAATAAACGGATGTTTGGGAACAACTGACGGTGAGAACTAAATTGACACCATTTTAAAAGTTAAAGGATCAACTTGACACTTTTTAAAGTTAAGGGACCAAATTAGACCCCGAGCTAAAGTTAAGGGACAAAAATGAGTATTTTGCCTATCCTTTTCAGTATAACGAGATAGTTCATCTCAGGAAAGGCATGATGTCTTGAAAACTCAGAAGACAAAAGTTATTTATGTTTCATATGTGTTGTTATCTATCTGTAGTATTTTTTTGTATTAGTGTCTTTATTATGTATTTGTACTGCTTTGTACTTGTGTATTACATATATTAAATGTCATTTAAACGCTTTTGATTATACTCGCTATTAGTTAACATTTTAGATAGTATAATTCTAGACACATATTATTTAAGATGTTACCGTCTAAATAAACTATTAGTTTTTTCTATTATTTGCTAACTAGTTATTAATTAATTAACTATATATTTCATAAAAAAAATCCTACTATTTATTTAGTCTAAAAGAATTATATGACTTAAATTAGTACCATTTTTGGACTAAATTTAGTACAACTTTTAACTAAATTTATTTTCTTCTTTAATAAAAATGAACTAAATAAATTAGTAAAGCTTTTCCTTTATTTTTTAACTTCTTATTAACTATATATTTTATAAAAGTTATTTCTACTTACTATTTCAACTAGATTGTAATCTATAACATATATAAAGAAAAAATTTATTTTTGGTGTAGCCATTTTTTTACCAATTTTGCCCTTACTTATATGTAACTTACACAATAACTTCTATTAAAACTATTATTATTATCTTTTACATAACTTCCTATTATTAACGTTCTATATAACTTTTTACCTAACTTTCTTTTAAAATTAATATTAAATAAAAAATATCATAAATATTTTCACGTGTGTGCATTAAAAAAACGAACAGACGCGTACCCGTCTGAACGCTAGTAACTAATAAAAATGAACCCAACGTACAGTACAAATATTTCTAATATTTTACCAACTAAAAAGTTAACAACCTATACAAATTAAAAGAATATTACCTACTAAAATTAACAAAATCATAATAGAAGGTTAACACCACTTAATGTAAGAATTGAATTTCAAATGAAAATCAGTCAAATATTCTAGTTAAAGTAGATTTGTATCCAAAAATGATGATGTTGTTGTTTCATATATGTGAATTTATGTAAAGTTTTCATAATTAACCTAAGTAGGTGATGTTTGGAGGATAAAATATAAAAAGACAAAAGGCTGCCTCCAATATAGCGTATTTCCACTATGGCGTGTTTGACAATTTATAAAGTGGATCAACCAAACAACCATGAAAGTGCCATCTCACAAACACAATGAGATCATTTTCTCAAGTCAATAAAAGAGGGTCATTTATTATATTATATGATCTTATTATAATCAATTATCATATACTAGTATTATGTGAATCATGTTCAACATAATCATTTATAGCTCTAATAAGTTCCTCACGGTTTTCTGTTTTTGACTTTGGATTTTTCATTGCAACTCTTTACTTTCAACAACATTCATCATAACCTATCTTCTAAGGTAAGACTTTAGTGATTATTATTGTATATTTTCTTGAGCTTTGTGTTTTGAACTGTATGATATAAATATTTATGTTTATTATATAACTGAAAATTGTTCCTTAACATTAATGTTTCAATGTTTTTTTGGTTGATTTTTAGGTTGTACTGGGATGTGGGCTCTAAGAGTTCATGGATATGTCTTGGTTTTGTCATTTTGTTTCATTACATTCATGGTTACCTCACAAAAAACAGATCCTTCAGAAGGTGAATTTTGTATCCTAGTATATGTTTCATGTTTGGTTTTGTTTTTGGAGGAGCCAAAGTTGATTCTAGAGGTGTATAATTGATTTTGACGTGTTTGAATTTTCTCGAGTAGAATTGATTCTGAGTTTCTGACTAGAAGATAGAATTTGGAGCTTTTGCCTCTATAATTGATTTTGATTTTGGTATGTATATGCAGTAAGAGCACTGATAGACATCAAAAATAGTTTGATTGATCCAATGGGCAAACTGAGGAATTGGAATAAGGGCGATCCATGTGCAGCACACTGGACTGGAATTTGGTGTTTCGATAAAAAGGGCGATGATGGTTACTTCCATATCCGCGAGCTGTATGGCTTTTTTGTCAATCTGTTTCCTTTTTGTTTCGAGTCTCAATGAATTTTTTTATATAGAGATCTGAACTGTTTTATCATTGAATTTTACTTAAGCTACCTGATGACTATGAATCTCTCGGGCACTCTAGCGCCGCAGCTTGGTATGCTTTCCCAACTCAACATAATGTGAGTTTTCTCATTTTGTAGATTATTTTTGAACAAAAGTATATGAATTTGAAGAATAAACGATAATATCTTATACCGTGCTAATGTCTTCTGAAGGGATTTCATGTGGAACAATCTGACTGGCACGATACCAAAAGAAATTGGACGCATTACATCATTGAAACTCTTGTAAGAAACTTACGAAATAAAATGAAATATTAGTATTGATCCTCTTCAAGCTTATAGCATAAGCGCTTAATTAATATGAATTGTTATTATTCTGACATATTTTCTATGCAGGCTCTTGAATGGAAATAAATTATCTGGCAGTTTACCAGATGAGCTTGGCAACCTTAGGAATATGAACAGACTCCAACTAGATGAAAACCAACTATCAGGTTCTGTGCCAGAATCGTTAGCGAATTTGGTCAACGTTAGACACCTGTAAGTGGATCTCGAAACCAAAATTGTTCATCAACAGAACATAAAGCTCGATTTCTTACATGTACTTATTCTGCTGCATTTTCTGTCTTTGCAATTGCAGCCACATGAACAACAACTCGTTCACCGGTCAACTTCCATCCAAACTTTCAAACCTATCCAATCTTATGCATTTGTGAGTATCAAGCCTATTTTTTACAATTTCTTCATGATTTAGATGCATCTCCAAATTGATATTTTTTCTACAAGTTTTAACTGTTTCTCGCCTTGTTAATATGGCTTTACAGGCTTTTGGACAACAATAACTTATCGGGATATCTTCCACCAGAATTCTCCAAGTTACACAGTTTGGAAATACTGTATGCTATTTAATCCGCGTACTCTTATGTGTAATTTAGTTTGGCCATGTAACGATAAGGATTTTGTTATTGTCTATGATTTTCATATTTTCTTGTTTCCGTTACAGGCAACTTGATAACAATAATTTCAGCGGAAATGGAATTCCTTCCACTTATGAAAGATTACCCAAGCTTGTAAAATTGTAAGTACTGTTATCTACGTGTCCTTTTTTTCGCGCTTAATATATGATGCTACAAATATTCAGCGACTATTATTTTTGTGCTAATGTTTCCGCTTGGATTTTACAGGAGTCTGAGAAATTGCAGTCTGCAAGGAGCTATTCCCGATTTAAATTCAATACCAAGTCTTAAATATTTGTATGTTTAAGTATATCTCGCGACTTAGCTTTATCGTGTGCCTAATGAGTAATGACAATGAAATCATTTCCTTCTGTTTTGTCTACAAACTCATTTGCGTTTGGTTCATGTTTTAGGGATCTTAGCTGGAATCAGTTCACTGGACCTATACCGTCAAGTAATCTTTCAACCAATATGACAACCGTGTATGTAAATAGCGAATTTTGTTTATAAACTTTGTATCTATTTTGAACCATAACTTATCTTCGTCACAATATTTATATAGTATTTTTCTACTATTGCAGTGATCTGTCACATAACAAACTCAACGGATCAATTCCTCGAGGCGGAATATATCCTTATCTTCAAAGATTGTGAGAATATACTCATCAACTTGTATTTCAAAGTTGTTACAGTTCTTCACTTATCGGATTAATGTTTTGTTTTCACCGTTAAACGCAGGCAACTAGAGAACAATTTACTGTCTGGCTCCTTTCCTGCTACCATATGGCAGAACATATCCTTCAGCAAAAAGGCAAAACTTATAATGTAACTTCCGAATCTGAATTACTACATCAACCTTAAGGAATATTGATTTTTTGTTTCTAAAGCAAGTTATGTGTGTTCATTTTATCGCCGCAGTGACTTTCATAACAACTTACTTTCTGACGTTTTCGGAGATCTGAATCCCCCAGCAAATGTTATCATAAGGTACTCCAATTAACATGTTCCGTAATAGATTCCATGCAACCGTATTATCAGATTCAATTTATGTTCATAACAACCTTTGATGTTACATAAATATCTTATCATTTTCTTATATTAGGCTTTCTGGAAATCCTGTTTGCGAGAACTCCACCATACAAAGAATTGGTCAATATTGCGGTAAAGAAGGGCGTGAAGTAGATGAAGATTTTACAACGTCAACGGCTGTCTGTCCCGTTCAAGCTTGTCCAGTAGATAATTTCTTTGAATATGCACCCTCACCCTCATCCCCTCCAGATCCTTGTTTTTGTGCGGCGCCTCTAAGAATTGGATATAGGCTTAAAAGTCCAAGTTTTTCGTACTTTCCTCCCTATAAAACTAGTTTCAAAACATACTTGACTAAGTCCTTAAACTTAGACTTCAATCAGTTATCGGTAGATTCTTACGAATGGGAAGAGGGGCCTCGTCTCAGAATGAATCTGAAAATTTTCCCTTCATACAATGATTCTCGCTCTCATATATTCAACACAAGTGAAGTCCTTCGCATTGCCAGCATCTTTTCGTCATGGAGATTTCCTCACACGATTCTTTTCGGACCATATGAACTCCTGAATGTCACTCTTCTAGGACCTTATGCAAATAGTATGTTTCTCAATCTCAGCATTTTATTATTCTTGATTATGTTATCACCTTTATCGAGTTTCTCTAACTTTACTTTCGTTTTATTGTTATAGTAATTATTAATACAGATAGCAGAAAGAGAAAAACAGGCATTATTGTTGCTATTATAATCGGAGCCGTTGCTGCTGTTTTAGCAATGACCGCAACAATCATGCTTCTAATTTTTAGAAGAAATTCGAAATATATGCACTTGATTTCCAGGAAACGAATGTGTAAGTATCTTAACGCTTTCTTCTGATAATGTCAATTTGATTAATCTTCGAAGAAGTAAAATTTATCCAAATGGCTATTTCTTTTTGCAGCCTCTAATGTATGTATCAAAATAGATGGTGTGAAAGCATTCCCTTTGAAAGAGCTGACTCACGCCACTAACAAATTTGATATCTCGACTAAAGTTGGGGAAGGAGGTTATGGAAATGTCTATAAGGGCATTTTATCCGATGAAACATTTGTTGCCGTTAAGCGAGCAGGAGAAAATTCATTACAAGGGCAAAAAGAGTTCTTGACTGAGATTGAGCTTTTATCGAGGTTACATCATCGAAATCTTGTCTCCCTATTAGGCTATTGTAATGAAGAAGGAGAGCAGGTAAATAACCTATAGCTACACTTATCTTATGTATATATATCATCATTATAAGTTTTGCCATATTTGTTTGTTAGTTAACTATAATATCATCTTATATACTCTTTTTCTTGGTTCAGATGCTGGTTTATGAATTCATGCCCAACGGCACACTAAGGGAATGGATTTCTGGTAAGGAATTACTCTCTCCGTCCCAAATCATAAGTCACTTTGCAAAAGAAATTTTTTTACTGTAACATCAGCACCGTCGTGATTATGCATATTGAATATAGAAGTTAATAAATACCATCCTCTGGCAGGTAAAAATAAAAAATTCAACAAAGGTCTTAGCTTCTGCATGAGGTTACGGATTGCAATGGGTGCGGCGAGAGGAATACTATATCTGCATACAGAGGCTAACCCTCCTATATACCATAGAGATATTAAAGCCAGTAACATACTTCTAGACTCCAAGTTTACAGCTAAAGTGGCTGATTTTGGATTGTCACGGCTTATACCATACTCAGATGAAGAGGGAACTGTACCTAAATATGTGTCGACCGTTGTGAAGGGAACACCGGTAATTTTAATAATTGCGTGTGGTGTGATATCTCTTCAGTGTCCAATTAGTACTACGAGAAGCCAAGTTGAATATACTTGTTATTTTCTTGCAGGGTTACTTGGATCCAGAATATATGATGACTCATAAGTTAACTGATAAAAGCGATGTATACAGCCTAGGAATTGTGTTGTTAGAACTTTTGACTGGCATGCATCCGATATCACGAGGGAAAAACATTGTCCGCGAGGTACTTTTTAACATTTTTCCTTAATTTAAGAGACTAAGTTGAAGAAATACTACTTTTTAAACATAGTCTTACACTTATTATGGTACATAATTTTGTATCAGGTTAATCTGGCTTGTCAAAATGGCACGATGGATTCAATCATAGATACCAGAATGGGTGAGTATCCATCTGAATGCTTAGACAAGTTCTTAGCTCTGGCCCTCAGTTGCTGTCACGATCGACCAGATGAGAGACCATCCATGATGGACGTTGTGAGGGAATTGGAGGACATTATTGCCTTGTTACCTGAAACTGAGAGTGAAATTTGTTTCTCAGATGTTTCCTTAGATAATTCTGGTAAAATGGTGCCCTCGTCTTCCTCATCAGCGACGACATCGGGGAACATTATGACAAGAAAGGACCAGCAGCACATGTCTGCAGATGTGTCTGGAAGTGATCTTATCAGCGGCATCGACCCTACTATTGTTCCGCGTTGAGGCCATACTTCGAGGATGTTTAGATAAACAATTTATAGTACAGGAAATATAATTATACGAAATTAAGTGTGCACTTTTTTGATAGTACCAAAAGTTTTATAGGGGCAGAGTTATTGTTTCCATTCTACATAGGATTTGTAAATTTTGTACACATGTAAACCAATTTACTGAGACAAAGAAGAATAATAACATTATTATTAAGACAAGTTCTACATAAAGTGGGTCGTAGGACCCTCAAATAAATTAAAAAAAGTGAATATTTAAAAAGTGTTGAAAAGAGAATATCACTGACATTCCTCGAAACAATACTATTATTTATGGATACTATTAATAAATAAAAAATAAAAATCAGATTGATTTTCTAAGAATTATTTGCAATCAATTAAATTATTGGAAAAAAAATGTATTAGTTTATCTCAATTTCAAAACCGCAAATTTGGTCATCTTGTTCATCGCGCTTCTGCGAATCGAAGACTCCATTCTTCTCTATTTCAATCGAATCGGTGCCCTAACTCAAACCACGATGGTACGATCTCCCTTTCCTCCGCTTCAACAATTTCATAAATCTACTACTTCTTTCCCCTTAAATTTCTACATTTTTCTCTATCAACACTTTTAACCTAATCACGTAAACACAACACCGATACTGATTAGTCGACGCTATAATAATTTGAAAAAAAATGAATAAATTAAATATAATCACAAGTGTTACTTGTCAATTTTAGATAGAGGTACACTTTTTTGTCAGAGGTGTTGTGCTACAGAGTTACTGACACTGTTTTGGTTTGCAATTTTCTTGTCAGTCATCTATACTGAGAGGGGAGTCAAGGAGATTCAACACCAAACAAAAGGGACGACATCATTTGACGACACAAAAGAGACAGGAGATTAAGGAAGCTTTTGAATTATTTGACACTGATGGATCAGGTTTTATAACCATCAAAATCACTGTGCAGTGAAATAATTAATTTCCACTTTAGGTTAATACTTTGATTCATGATGTTTAGGTACTATTGATGCCAAGGAGCTCAATGTTGCTATGAGGTAGTGGTTTTATTTATAATAATGTCAAAATGTTTCTCATGTTTATTGATTGGATATGTTGTTTTCTTAACATACATCTTATCTTTGTAGGGCCCTTGGATTTGAGATGACAGAAGAGGTATTATATAATTATCCCTCTATTCCATCATAGTTAGGGGTGGGAAACGGGCATGTCGGCCCCGTTTAGGCCCACTCCGTTAAAGTCTGCAAAAAAAAACGGTGTGGGGTAGGCATAGTTAGAGTACAAGCCTAAAACCTTGGCCCGCCCCGCCAAAAAGTAAGGGGAGGGGAGTCCTGCGTGCATTTCACCTTTTAAGCTAAAAATTGCAAAATTTTATGTTGAGGCCCGTGCCCGAAAGAAAATGGGGCGGGACAAACATATTAGAGGGTGTGGGCCTAAAACCTTGACTCGCCCCTGCAAAAAAGTGCCCCTAGTCATAGTTGGTGCAATTTTTGAAGAATTTTGTTTTTTTTTATTATTTATTTGTCATTTTCATAATTGATTGATTGTGTTTGAATGTTGTAACATTTAGTTTTGGTTGTTCTTCTACTTATTCAGAGATAGGTATTCAATGGTTAATGAAAACTGATTGTAGAAAAGTAATGGATTATGTACAACATTGGTGATGTCATTCTTTATTAGAATTCTATATGCATCTCTCTAATTGTGAGTCTTATGTTATCCCTGAAGAATTGTGGGTATAACAATTGAAAATTAGCCTCATTAGTAAATTTGCAAGTGATACCGACTAACTGATTTTTACTTCACTTGCAAATTTGTTCACGTGCCTAATTTTTATTGGTTGTTGGGTAAACTACACATACTTCTTCGAGGCTAAACGTTCTCTAATAGACAACAATCCATTGTGCCATTTCAGCAAATTGAGCAAATGATAGCAGATGTGGATAAGGATGGGAGTGGATCAATTGACTACGATGAGTTTGAGCACATGATGACGGCCAAAATAGGAGAAAGGGACACTAAAGAGGAGCTCATGAAAGCTTTCCATATTATTGATCAAGACAAAAATGTGAAGATCTTCACTGCTATACATCATAGTACTGTAGTGCTTTATTCTCATTGTATATTTATGGTTGTTGCAGGGTAAGATATCTGCAGCAGACATCAAGCGCATTGTAAAGGAGCTAGGTCAAAATTTTACTGATAGAGAGATTCAAGAGATGGTTGATGAGGCAGACCAAAATAGTAAGTTACCACAGTCATATCCTTGCTTACACTCTAATTTTTCAGTACAACTTTTACATCTCACGTAGCGTATTTGTATTTCATTCTATGGTGAAACGGGTGGTGATGTGTGTTTTAGGTTATGCTGACATACTGTTGTCTGTATATGAATAAAAATAGTATAACTAACTTCGCATTGAAAGTTAAGTACGCACCTCATGTTTTAGTATTCATGTAATTTCAGACACTTGACATAAGAAAAATAATGATAAGAAGTTTATATAACGACTAAAGTTTAAAAACTAAGATTAATATTTATGCACCGATAGTGTAAAACGTTTTTACACATGCATTCAATCAAATCATGTCAAATAGATATTTGTTGATATATTTTTAGAACTATCCTTAAAATGTGGCAACATAGAGTGTTTTGATTGGATGCATGTGTAAAAAAGTTTTACACGGTCGATGTAAATATTAATCGTAAAAACTAATGACCATTTAATCCTGACCTGACAATAAAAATGAACTATATGTGATAAAAAAATATAACATAATGAGTGGAATACTATGACCATAAATTGAGAAATCAATAGAGAATATGATCATATGACTGCATGGAATATATTACTATGTCTATTAATAAGAGTACCTTCAAAGGTAACCTTTATTCCTTAAGGTTGGTATAGTGATTCAGATTCAGAATTTACATTTTTAGTTTAAATGTTCTGCCATATGGTAGCAGGGAAGGACCCAGACAGTAGTAAATTGTTCTCTAGTTCTCTATGAAAAACAAAGTTAAAAGGTTGAAAACTGAGTCAAAATAGATTAAAGTAAAAAATAAAAAAACAGGTTCACAGCTATATCACTTGGCATTCATGATGTGTTGGACTAGGCCAATAGTCGGTTACACTAGAAATTTGGGAGTTAGAGGTGAATTAGCAGGAATTGTACATCTGTAATATGAGTATTTAGGATTAGTATGCAACAAAGAACTGAGTCTCTTTGTTGTAAGGGGCAACTCTTGTAAGGTAAGGTGGTTTATTTGGCTTATTTTCTCTCAATTGCAGAAATAACAGAGTTCTTTCTTTCTTTCCCTGCTTGTCTTGTTATGTCCGTGATTTTTTCTGGCTCCTAGCTTGATATTTTACAATAGGTTCCTGAATTGCATATACATACAACATTTAATGAAAAACGAGTAAAAGGGGGTGTTTGCATTGGTGTAGTCATTCTTGTTTGTTTAGATATAAATGTCAAAGGAGCAATATAAACTTTGCATTCTTTTTAGTGGTAGATTTAGTAACAGAATCTGATTTTATCTTCTTTTTTACACTGCCCAGTGTTTAATCACTGATAGTAATATGACAGTTTAACTATAAAAGGCTACTAAGTTGACATACTATTTGGATATCTTACAAATATGCAGATGCTAGTAGACAACATTTGTATGTACTGGATTTTTTCTGGCATTAGTAGTGCTAACTTATTCTCATGTCTGAGATATTTTTAACACGTCGTTTATGGCTTTTACAATATGCAGATGATCGAGAGGTTGATCCAGAGGAGTTCCTCATGATGATGAACAGAACAAGCTTCCGTCACTAGTCATATTTACATGCTGTGCAGTAGTACCTTATATATGAATATAAATTATATGAAGTTGTACTCGTGTCATTGTGTACATTGTAGGAATGATGAATGGAATGTTGGTTGTTTTAATAAGAAGTATGAATAAAATGTTATGATTGTGTTACCTGTCAGCATTGATGTGTGACTGGAATATATAGGGCCCGTTTGACCATAATTCTTTTTATTATAGCCGTGTTACTCTGTTTTGTAAATAAGTTGATATCTAAGAGTTTGGGTTTGAATCTGAGATTTTTCAGTTCTCTACATCTAATGTGTATCAGCTTAACCTCTAGATTACTTGGAGAAAGAAAAAGACATTCATAAAATTAGCAGCTAGATGTGTTATTATTAGTCTCTACTAAAACTGTATCTCCAACACATATTCTAATGTTGAAATTTTAAATAGTTTTTATTAAATTATGAGAATTTCTCATATATTGTCAAATAGCACTGCATAAGATATTCTATTTCACTGTAAGTCTAATTTCAAAGATAATCGTCTATTGACACAGGTGATTGAATAGAATATAATGATCACCCTCTAGAGCGTTTAAAATTTGGATTGTGTTTGGCACATTTGTTCTATAGGAAAAAGATAAATCTAGGGATAAGTATGATGCGGAATGAAAAAAGATGAATCGGAATGAAAAAGATGAATCGGAAGACAATTGTTATAACTTGAGTATCAAACTTGAGTGTATTTTCACATGTTGAACTCGACTCTGATGCAGAGAAAAATGTCGAATAAATAAAAAGAGTTGTATTAGTGCAAGAATGTGAAAAAAAAACAAATATTTGAATTGAAAGTTGGCTAATATAAAAATCAAGGACGGTGACTCAATGTCAGAGCATATGAGTGTTTCAAATTACTGTGAATCACTTGACCACAAGTGATATTAAGATGGGTGATGAGTTGTAAGCTTTATTATTTGTTCATTTCATTATTTGAGAATCACTTGACCACAAGTGATATTAAGATGGGTGATGAGTTGTAAGCTTTATTATTTGTTCATTTCATTATTTGATAACTGGAAAGTTCTTGTTGTCACACTTACTACTTATGCTCCAAATGAAAAGCTAGCAATGTCAACGGTTAAAAATAACTTGCTTAATGAAGAAGCTAACATAAATGGTGTGGTTT